ACAAGGAGGGAGACCCTGGGACACACCCACAGGGGGGCTGTTCGGACGCACCCCTGTCGAGGCTGGGCGTCCCCCCTCCTCCCGTACACGTATCCCAGGGTTGCGCCTCAGACCTCTTGTCCGTTCGAACACCCCACGAAGCCCGGGATGGGGGTCGCCATGCCCCCCGTGACCGAGCTGCCCCCATGTGATCGAGATGATTTTGTTGCTGCTGTAGATGCTGATGAGGATGATGCTGATGCTGCTGATGATGGATGGTGATGATGATGCTGCTGCTGATGATGATGATGATACTGATTATGTCGACCACGACCAGGGTTAGGATGACGATGATGACGACGATTGTGATGATGCTGGTGATGGTCATGGTGATGATGACGACGATGGTGATGGCGATGCTGCTGATGATGATGATGATGATGATGATGGTGATGGTGATGGTGATGGTGATGATGATGATTATCATATTGATAATGGTTATGCCGACCACGACGATGGTTATGATGATGGTGATGATTATGATGATGGTGTTGTTGGTTGCGATGGTGATGATGACGACGATGGTGATGGTGATGATGATGATGATGATGATGTTGATGATGCTGATGATGATGATGATGCTGCTGATGATGATGAGGAGGAGGAGGAGGAGGAAGAGAAGGATGAGGAGGAGGAGGGAGAAGGACGAGGATCGTGGTGATGGTGGCGACGACCATGGTGGTGATGATGAAGGATTTGATGATGAGTATGACGGCGATGATGGTGACGATGAGTATGTAGATGGTGATCATAATGACGGTGATGGTGATCGGCGGCAACGATGATAGATATGATGACGATGATGGCGCTGGTGGTGATGGTGATTGTGAGAATGCTGCTGCTGCCGGCGCGCTCTGGGAGGCGCCTTGCTGGCGCGCTCTGGGAGGCGGTCCCCCCCAGCGCGCGCGCCGCGTTCCTGGGCCGCGCCCGGTGCCTCGGGCGCTGCCGCGGGCGAAGCCTTCCCTCGCCAGGGTTTCTCACCGCCTCGGGCCTCTCTGCACGATCACGGGCAGGAGGAGGAGGAGGAGGAGGAGGAGGAGGAGGAGGAGGAGGAGGGGCAGGGGGAGGGGAGAAGGAGGAGGAAGAAAGGAGGAGGAGGAGGAGGGAGGAGGAGGAGGAGAAGGAGGAGGATGAGGAGGATGAGGAGGAGGAGGAGGGGAGGAGGAGGAGGGGAGGAGGAGGAGGAGGAGGAGCAGGAAGAGGAGGAGGAGGAGGAGGAGGAGGAGGAGGAGGAGGAAGACGAGCAGGAAGAGGAGGGGGAGGAGGAAGAGGAGGTGGAAATGGAAATGGGGTAGGGCGGACCAGGTCCGCCTGCCGACACAGCTGCAGCACGGAGGCTTAGCACCATACGAGTCGCCACGATTCTGTGGCCTCGGCCTCTCGCTTAGCGCGCCTGCACTCCCTGGCCCATTCAACTGCAGAATCGGGCGAAACAAAACCGTGCAGGCGCGCAACGTGGGCCAGGTCCAGGACGGGGACAGACCCCGTACTGGTGGAAGCTGGCGGGGCCCAAGGTGCCATCGGTCGCGGGACCCGGGGGCCCGCCAGCGGGCCCCGACGCGACAGACCCAGCCGACGAGGACCCAACACCCAAGCTGGACCCCATCAGCTTCCCCTGCAGCCACTCGATATCAGCCTCCTCTGGGCCTCTAAACGCAGACAGCCGAGCAGGAGGAGGAGGGGGCCGAGGGGTGGACGAACCGACGCAGACGGGACCTGGGTCTTGAGCCTTGGGTGCCGAGGTCCCAGACAGGCCCCTGCAAGGCCTTTGCCAGGGGAAACTCTCTGAGCCAGTGAGGCCCCACAAGACTTGCAAAAGAACAGACACATGTTGTCAGGGCCCCCCACCTCGCATTTCACCACCTAGTGCCCCTGAAACAGCCACGGCCTATCAGGCACGACCCCCAGATCTCCCCACCCCTCCTCAGACGGCACGGGCTCGGGCTCCAGCGGCGGTGGGGTGGGGGACGCTGACTTCCATCCGAGAAGCTCACCGGTCCTGAGGGCAGCCTCTGGTTGCACAGCATCGGGGTCATCTACAGCATACTCTAGGTCCAGGACAGCATCCGAGGTGCCTACCACACCCTCAGTGTACCAGGCCTCATGGTCTCCTATCCAGGCATGGACATGACCTATCAAGAGCGCGAGCTTGCAGGCCAAATCCTCGCATGCTTCCGTGAAGAGGACCCTCTGTGGTGGGGTGTTCCAGAGTTGGGCCACCTTTTTAGCCCATCGGTCCGCTAGATCATTGCCACACCTGCACCGAGTGTCGTAAACAGAGGCATCGCTGGACGCTGGAGCATGTGCTTTGATTTTTGTTCACCGACGCACTGCTGCCGTGCTTCTGCCACCAGCCCTCCCAAACGTTGCGGCTGGGATTCATGAGGCTGAGAGCTTTGGAGACACTCCTCGCACACGCGATCGCTCCTGCACAGTCAAAGAAACCGTGAGCGCTCTATCGGTGGCAGGGTCAACATAAAGCCTGGCCAGCATACATAACGCAACATCCTCCTCATCTCTGGGGGACTGAGTGAGGGACCGCGCAAGCGGCACAGCGCCATACATCCCGCAACGAAGCGAGCCGTCATCATTGGTGCATATCACTGACTACCCCGCGCGTCGCAACCCGCCGTGCTGAGTGAAAAAAAGCAGGCCCGTCCACGAACACTTCGCCTTCGAGCAGCCGTCCAGGCATACACCCCACACATAGGATCTGGCCCTCCTCGGGGATATCAGGCTCCTGCAAGGCGTGCGCCGGCGAGGGCAGCAGGCCTCGCGCGAAGAGCTCGGCATATTGCCCTCCGCGCTCCACAACTTTAGCTGCCTCAAGCAGCTCAGGCGGACAAAATTCTCGGCGGAGGAGTTTTGTAGCGGGGCAATCTAAGCACCTGTGCCACAGGGTGCCTCGGGCCCCGCATCTCGTGCAGAAGGGGTGCGCAGCCTTGCCTTTCGCATGCAATCTGCCCTGGCTCCAGTGCGCCCCAAAATTAACCGATCTGAACGCGGTATTGTGCCTCTTGGTCCACAGCTCGGAGGTACGAGACAACACGGCCAGCACGGGCCCCCAGTGGACCTCCGACACCCAGGGACCCCCAAGTTTTCTCAGAGCTGTGGCGTCAGAGGCAGCGGCCGCGGCAGCACGGACAGCCTGGCAGGCCGCCCTTGGCGTAGAAAGCTCCAAGTTGATCTCGCGCTGGCGATGATCGAGCAGACAGTCGTGCTTTACAACCTGGCAGCCCGCACGGGCGAAGCTAAGCACTGCGGCCTGGGCTGGGTCAGTGTACCTATTCCGGGGCCGCTCCATGCTCAGCAGCTGCAGCGCGTCCGCGTGGACCGTGCTCAGAACCTCCTGCTGCAGGAGCCCGTCTCGCACTCCGGCGGCCCAGGCCTTGGCGACCTCCGCCGCGTTCGCCACGAACGGGCCCCTGAAGATCCCGCGCTGGGTGGTGGGCACCCTGAAGGCGAGGCAGGTCCCTGCCGCCAGCCTATGCCAGCCTGCCCTCGGAGCGGAGCGCGTGTTCCCGCAGCCCGTTAAGTTTTCCGTCCGCGACCCCCGTGACGGCAGAGCCCCAGACTGCCGTGGCGCATGGAGAGCCTCGGTGCAGGTGGCAAGTCTTCGCCCCTGCCGACTGCAGCAGCTCGATCTTGGCCGCCGCGCGGCTCGCCTTGGCCAGCCGTTTGTCCTGCTCGGGCACGCGGCGCCTGCTGCCATCGTTGCCATCGCCGCCGAGGCACCTCAGGCCCGTGTGCCTGGTCAGCCCCAGCTCGGCCCAGTGCTTGTCCAGCTCCTTGGCCAGCTCCGCGTCAGTAGCCATCCAGCCCGTCTTGCCCCAGTTGATCTTGAGGCGCCTCTTTTGCAGCCCCAGGAAGAGGTCGTAGGCGGCCTGCGGCAACTGGAGCCCTACCAAGCGCGCCGTGCCGACGGCCTGGAGGAGGCAGTCGTCCTCCGGGCTCTGTGCTCTCACGAGCGGGTACCTGGAGACGATGTTGCGCAGCAGCGTGTACGTCAGCAGCTTCGCCACGCCCACCGCGCACGAGCAGCCAGCTGCCGTTGTGCCGTTGGCCTCGATCGTCGGCCCCACTCCCTTGCCCAATGTCGCCTTGCGACAGAGGCAGTAGCTGGAGCACAGGGCCCGCAGGAGCACCATCGGGAACTCTGTCTCGAGCGCCTGGTCGTAGAGCTCGTCGTGGCTGATGAGCTCGTAGTACTTCGTGAGGTCGACCGCCAGCGTGCTGGACACCATGCCTGTCTTCTTCGCGAAGGCCGTCATCATGTTGTGCACAAAGCCAGCCTTCTCGCAGGAGCGGTCCGCCGTTCCCCAGTGGAATGACTGGTCGATCCTGTGCTCCCACTCGGCAGCGATGGGCTGCCGTAGCTTAGACCACACCCGCGTCCAGAGGCTCGACCTCACCCCCTCCAGGCGGGGGCTTGGGAAGAAAAAAACATTAGTAGCAGCAACAACGGACATCGTATCGGATTCCTTTTCCAAGCATGCACTACGTCCAGGAATGCCTGCGGTAGTGGGGCGGGAGCCAGCGCAGCTGCCGCGGGTGCAGGCGATCCCATCCGAGGCCTGCGCCCCCACCGTACGATGCCAGCACTTGGTGGGAGGAGGAGGAGGAGGAGGAGGAGGAGGAGGAGGAGGAGGAGGACGAGGAGGACGAGGAGGAGGAGGACGAGGAGGACGAGGAGGAGGAGGAGGAGGAGGACGAGGAGGATGGCTCCGTCGGATCGACACTGGCCAACAGCTGCAAGCTGCAAGGAGGAGGAAGAGGAGGAGGAGGAGGAGAAGGAGGAGGAGGAGGAGGAGGAGAAGGAGGAGGAGGAGGAGCAGGACGAGGAGGAGGGTGGAGAGAGGAGGGATGAGGCAGGAGGAGGAGGGAGGGAGGGAAGGAGGGAGGAGGAGGAGGAGGACGATCAGCAGGAGCAGCAGCACCAGCGCGGTCGGCATTGCGCAGAGGTCCCCCGCGCGTGACCTCGGCAGGAGCTCGTGGCCGCGGCGCAGCGGCCTGGCTGCTACAACGCCTTCAAGCGGGAGGCCGCGCACCTCGCGGCGGCTGCTGCAGACGAGGACCGCGGCGAGGGCCAGGACGAGGTGGCCCCTTCGTCGGGATCGCCGCGTCCCCCCAAAAAGCCGCGCACCGAAGGTCAGTCTTACCCAGGGTCACTCTTGCGTGTGGCCGACCTCGTGGCCACGGCTGAGTTCTCTTCGACATTCTGGTCAGAATGTCCGGGGAGTGGCGGTGTCGGTACATGTCTGTGCCCCCAGCTCCGCGCCCTAGCGCTGGCAGAGCGGGCAGGCGATCGCCTTGGGCGTCCTCCTCCGCCGGCTGGGCTTGGTCGCGTGCCCCGTGGCCGGGGTGGTGCAAGGCGGCTTCGCTGTACCAGCCTGAAGCATAGTTCACTATTCCCGTGACTGGCACGGCCTGATCTCGATGCCGATTTTATGGATTTGTCTCGGTTTCTGACTGCACATCCCTAAGGTTGTCCTCGCCCTTGGCTTGCCGATCTCAGGGACAGGGACAGGCTCGAGGTGGGTCATCGCAGCACCCACCAAGGGCAGCGGCCTTTGCACCGCTGCCGCCTGTCGGTCTCTGCGGTCCGCGTTGTTTCCGGTGTTTCCACGCCTGCGCGGCCCACGGTCGCGGCCAAGCCCACCCCCCCTGCATCTCCTGCAGTGAACCCGCATAGTACGGATGAGCGACTTTCCAAGGCTACCCCAAACTTCGTAATAAAAGGGAAGGAGTCACAACCCTCCCAGACGAGCAGTTTTAGACCGCCCCCAGACCAGCCACGAACTGGCGGCCTTGAAGCCCAGACCCCCCTGGAACCCTGGGAGGTTCCGAATCACAGACCAAAACGTTGAAGCACAGACCGCGCGCGGCGACTCGCAGACCGCGCGCGCCGAGTCACAGACAGCACACACTGAATCAGAGACTCCGCAAGCCAAATCAGAGACTCCGCGCGCCGAATCAGAGACTCCGCGCGCCGAATCAGAGACCCCGCGCGCCGAATCAGAGACTCCGCGCGCCGAATCAGAGACTCCCCGCGCCGAATCAGCAATTCCGCCTGCTGAATCAGAGAATCCGCCCGCTGAAACAGAGACTCCGCCAGCCGAGTCAGAGACTCCGCCTTCCTCCCCTCCTGTACTCTCCCATCGGGGGCGGCTTTATTCCGTAGATTTTCGATGATCCGGCTGATCCAGTGATCCGGCCAGCTGATCTGGTGACCTGGTGATCTGGTGACCCAGTGTTGTGGCCAGCTGATCCTGTGATCCGGCAGATCCGGCTGGTCCAGTGATCCGGTCAGTTGATCCGGTGATCCAATGATTTGATATTGTGGCCAGCTGATCCGGTGATCTGGCTGATCCGGAGATCTGGCTGATCTGGCCAGCTGATCCAGTGACCCGATGATCAGATGACCCCATGTTGTGGCCAGCTGATTTGGTGATCCGGCTGATCCGGCTGATCCGGTGATCGGGTTAGCTAATCCGGTGATCTGGTGATTTGGTGTTGTGGCCAGCTGACCCAGTGACACGGCTGATCCTGTGATCCAGCTGATCTGGCCAGCTGATTTGGTGATGCGATGATCCGGTGATCCAGGGTTGTGGCCAGCTGATCCAGTGATCCGGCGTTGTGGCCAAATTGATCCGGTGATCCGGCTGATCCGGTGATCGGGTCAGCTGATCCGGTGATTCGGTGACCTAGTACTTAGTGTTGTGGCCAGCTGATCCAGTGATCCGGCTGATCTTATGTTCTGGCCAATTGATTTGGTGATCCGGCTGATCCAATTCATCCGTTTGAGTGGATTGCTGATCCGGTGATCTGGCGATCTAATTAAAAAAAACCTCTAGTCCGAGTGCTTCCGGGCGCCCGGCCCCCACGCTGGAATTCTAGGAGGGAAGAGAGAAGGAGGAGAAAGAGAGAAGGAGGGAAGCATGAAGCAGTTGCATGCAACACAGCGCTTGTGTACACCACAATGCTTGCGTGCACCGCAGTTTGCACAGCCCAACGACTGCGTACAGCACAGCATCGCGTGCAACGCAGCGCTGGCGTACACCAGAACGCCTGCACGCAAATGCCGTGGTGTGCACAGCAGTTGGTATACGTTGATATTGTGTTTCACGCGGGTGGTGTGGTGCACGCAGACGTTGTGGTGTACACAAGCGTTGTGGTGCATGCGGGCATTATGGCACACGCTGACGCTGCGTTGCACGCGGCTGCTGTGGTGCCCCCAGATTTCAGCTGTTATCGACCCAGATTGTGAAAAGCATGTGCAAAAAATATGATGAACGTGGAAAGGAGAAGAGGGACCAGGGGACGAGCGGGAAGGCTGAGGGAGGAGGACCGGGAAAGGAGGGGAAGAAAGTGAGGCTTCGTGTGCGCTGAGCGCGTGCGCTCGGAGACGAATGGACATCATAAGTAATTTTCCTGCGAATCTGGGACATGACATTGAATCTGAAAACGGCTGTGGGGAGATATGGGCATTGTCATTGTCGCCGTCACCGTCCGTGATTGGTGTACGTACTTTTGAAAACGGGTTTTCAACAGAAAATCGGGCTTGGATAAAACGGGGAAATACGGAACTTCATCGGGGGCAAATCCGCAAAAGTGGAACATCGGGTCCCAAATTATGCGAACCCAAGTTAACAATCATAGATACGCGGGTCTGTCTGCAATCACATGGAAATTGCGGTCCGCAACTATGCAAACCCAGGTCCGCTGTTATAGAAACTTAGGTCCGCCATTACCGAAAGCAATGATCGGATATGGAAACCTTTGTCCAATCATGGAATCCATTACGATCGTTATTTCAAGCGGTTTCCGATGTTATTATGCACAATCTGCGATTCAATCAATGGTTTGCGATTCGGTGCGTGTGGTCTATGATTTGGTGCGCAGTCTATGTTTCGTCGCGTGCAGTCAGTGATTCAGATAGTGCGGTCTGTTTTTCGCCGCGTGCGGTCTGTGATTCTTTGTGTGCTGTCTGTGATTCGTCGCGTGCGGTCTGTGATTCAATATGTAATGTCTGTGATTCGTCGCGCGCGGTCCGTGATTCAACGTTTGGTCTGTGATTCGGAACCTGCCGCTGGAACCCTTTGTGACAGCTCCAAGCAGACCCTCCCAACAAAAATCATACCCCCCCCCTTATTTTGAAATCTGGAGTGCCCTTGCATCCGTCCCCTTCGGCTTTTCCTTCGCCGCTTTCGCTGGCCTTGCCACGCCCGCAGAGTGTCGACATGGCCCTCCAATGCCCTTGCATCCTTCTCGTGCGTCCTTCTTGTACGGATCGACTGCACCAAGGCGTGGCCCAAAACCGAGCGCGGGAGCGCGCTGTGAAAGCAAAGATCGAGGTGGTTCAGTCCTTGTTCGGCTGCCCCCTTCTCCCCACGCGTCGCCGGGCAACCAGTACGCCATGTGCCCCAAGCAACTATAGTCGATGTACACGTAAGAGTGACCCTTCGCTGACCTTTGGGACGGGCCCATTGGGCACCCCCGATCGCCGAATGCGATGCGACAGCAATTGCCTGCGCGCTTGGATTTGCCCCCCTCGCGCCCCCTTTCCTCCGCACACGAGAGGCCACTCTTGCGGAGAGTCGCTCCTGCGTGTAGCCGACAATGAGCGCGCGCGTGCGGATCCCCTTTTGCTGCGCTGCGACAAAGAAGTGCTCGGCTTGCCCCCAGTGCTGCCTGCTCCTGGGAGGCTGCGCGTGGGCCCTTCCGTGGGAGGCTCCGAGGCGGGCCCTCCTCCCCTGCCTGGCGCCGGCAGCAGGAGGCGGGCGGCCCCACACGCGGCGGCCAGGGGGCTGCTCGTTCCCTCCAAGCCGCGGGGCGCTGGCCAGGCCTGGCGCGAGCTCTGCTCCTGTCTACGGTCTACGGCAGGTTCTCGCAGCATGTGCGCGCCGGCGAGTCCGGCGAAGGCGTGCAAGGTTGAATTCTGCGACGCGGAAGCATCCAGGGACATTGTAAGGCCACTGGGCCCGACGGAATTCAACCTTGAACGATTGGGGCTGCGATCGGTTCAAGCTTGAACGATTGACGCGGTGTCAAAACCTTTGCGTGCGCAGACGCCGCACGAACCTCCCGTAGGCCTCCCAGATGGGGTCCAAGTAGATGGGGTCTGAGGATCGCGCGGTATCACCGATGCGTCGGCGATGCGGCTCGGTGTGGAGCCCGATTTTCTCCACGCCGGCGTCGCCGATGCGCCGCCGCCGTCGCCAATGCATCGTCGATGCATCGGTGATGCGGCGCGATTCTCCGACCCCATCAGGGAGGCCCCTATCCTGGCTGCGCGGGGGCCTGCCGCCGAAGCGCGACGGCAGGCCGCAGGCAGGCCGCGCGGGGAGCCTCGTGGCAGGCCGCGGCGGCGGCGGCGGTGCTCACTTCAGTGGCGCAGCAGCAGCGCGGCCGCCTGCGCCGCGGGCAGGCGCGGCGCGGCCTTTGTGGGCAGCTCCGCTGGCTTGTGGAGGAGTGTGGCACCCCACGCCCGCGCACTTGGTCCGCGGCGTAGCCCGTCGTATCCAGCGTTACCCAGCGCTTGGCCCCAGGGTCTCAGAGGATGCCGGGCGGCGGTCTTCAGCTCCAGGCTGAGGTCCCCGAGGACACGCTGGTCGGCGGGCAGCATCTGGCCCGCGAGCGTGACCGGGACGATGACGGTGGCGTCGTCCGTAAGCCATGACGCGCGCGCGTCCTTGGCCGGCAGGCCATGGTTCTTGGCAGCTCGCGTTCCACAGCCGTGAGCAGCTAGCTCACCGTCCAGCTCGCGCAGCAAGCTTTGCCCAAGGGCTTCGCCATGCAAGCTCAAAGCAACCCAGCGATAGTGAGGAGCCCCGGCGCCGTGGCCTAAAACTCGGCGAGCCAGGCGACGAGGTCTGCGGGTCCGCAGGCGGTCTTCGCGTCCAGTGCCACCCAGGACTCGGCGAGGGCCTGCGCCGTGTGCCCCAGGAGCTCCGTAACGGCCGCCGTGCCTGCAGCAAGCAGCAACTCAGCAGGCTAGCAGCGAGGTCCTCCTTCCGTGGCTGGTAGTAGCACGCAGCCCTCAGCAGGCCTCATGCATACAACGGTCGGCGCC